TTTTTTTTTTTTTTTTTTTTTTTTCCCTGATAAACAGAATTTGTAAGTTAGTATGAACCCTAACGAAAATGACAATAAAATTAAATTTTGCCTCCTACTACAATTGCATTCTCTACTGCTTTTACTTCTTAAATATCTAGGTGCCAAATGTTTGCACATTTATGTATGTGAGTAGTCTGGCTAAAATAAAAGTTTTTTTCTCCTACAATAATTCATAGATCCCATTTACATAATCATGAAGGCTATAAGTAATATCTGAGAGGAATTTAATTTAAGTATTTTTCAAGAGTTAACTGTTCTATAATGACTGAAGGAGCTTGGTCTTATTTCATGCTAAATAAGTTGTTACTATCTAGTTTTRGTTTCCCTGATTGTGAAAGTTCTTTGTTTCATTCAGTGAATTTTTCATGGGTATGTTCAGAAAAAATCTTTTGTCAATTGTAACAGAGCCTTGGTATAATACAAATCCTTTAAAAAAAAGTTAATAATCCAATATAATAAAAAGTAATTTGGTGGTGTTCCCTGTTTCAGGCCTTCCTCCATCCCTTACTGAACTTCACCTTGATGGCAACAAAATAAGCAAGATTGATGCTGAAAGTCTCTCTGGACTTACCAACTTGGCAAAGTAAGGATTAATTTCTTCTTTTCACGTAAAATATTAGTTTAAATTTCAACCAACAGAGACACAATAAGAAAACATCAATCTGGGCTTTGTGAGAGTTAGAATCATTGAAATAGTCATAACTTAGCAGGAAAGGCTTCCAAGGATCTGTGTACTGATTGAAGAGAACAAACACCTCTTTTATTTTTCTTGCAAAACTGTTTGTCTCTTTTCAATTATGAGTGATATATGACTAGAACAACTGTTTATGTGATTTATTAAAAAAAAAAAGAAAAGAGAATAATGGCATTTTAAAAAAATTATATCATGTTTCTCCTGTTTTGTGTCCATGTTTGGTTTATACTGTTTTCTTGGAGTACAGTATTGCTCATACMTTTTGCATGGAAACTGAGGAAAAAACACATGGGAACCAAAACTTCTCTCAAAAGTGATTCCTTTGTTTTTCAAGAAAGGCAAGTCTTCAATAAGTCCAGAAACATGATTTTTAAAAAAATATAACGTTTAATTGAAAAATCACACTGTCAGAGTAATTTTACTCTGCTAATCTGTGACTATATGGGTAAATAAATTTCCCTAACTGTAGAAAAATCAAAAGAAAATTCTCCAAAGTAGTTATGCAAAGTTATTTGTGAATTTGCATCAAAAAATATGTAGCACAGTAAAACATGCCTTTATTACAAGTTATTTTAATAATTCAATACTTTAAAAAATTACTATTAAAAAAAGTTTAATTGATCAAAAACACTGATAACCAAACTATTAATCAGATTACTGGATCTAAATAATGCAGTTTCATGTAATCATTCCACTTATCATAATGAGGACAGAAAACAGAAATCAAAGAAAGATGACTGAATAACAGGAGTTAAGTTTATTACTATTTGTAGTAGCTTGGACAGCAGTTCAGTGCAATGAAGTATACAGTAACCTAACACATGATTTGTGTCTGAAAATTCCAAGATATAGAGCTTAGAACAGTTTACCAGAGCTTATAAATTAAGACACTTCATCTTATGTTTTATGTTCATATTTGATCACAGACTGAAAAAAAAAGTCTGTCCTAGATTTTAATGAAAAAATAAAACACTGTAATTATGRGTTAGAGGACTATGCAGCAGTTTGTAACAGAGGCTTAGTATAGAATACAACATATAAGAAAACTTCCTAAACGAAACCAAGATGATAACTACTCAGGCAGAGAATAATTTAAYGGAGGTGGGGGTAGTGGGGTGTCTTGCAAATGACAGTTTTTCTGTTTTTCACATTCACACTTGGAGAACACTGCAAGCAGCCTCACACAGACAACATTGTTGGGAGTCTGCCTTAAGACGCAAAGTTTTAAACAGCAAGTGCCAATGACTCCTAAAATATCTAATCTTGGACTGCTTCTATTGTGTCTGTACTGTATGGAGCAACAAAATATTCTGTTGATCGTGATGTGGAAATGTGGAGCTGCTCAGAGCAGGCATCAAATTTTAATACACTATCTGCCCTGTGCTTAAGTAGGTAACCCAAGCATAGTCAGAGATCCCCTTTGGCAAAAGAGGTAATGGAGAAAAAAACTGGTGAGCTAGGAGCACATTGGAGCAAACAGAGCTGAGAGATGAGGAAAGGAAGGAGCTATGGAAGAGCTCCAGCAGGCTATTCCAAAACCCAGCTTTTATTTATACATCTAAGACTTCAGAGGTATTAGAACACAGTCAGACAACTTTATTCATATTGACTCAAGCCCAACAGTCTAAGAGCTGCCCTACAGCACAGTTAAACTTTGAGAAACAGGTAAATTTTCTGACTGTGTTAAGGTATTTTAAACTGTAAAATGTTTCATAAAAGAGCTTGGTGTAGGTCTCTTGCTCATTCTCTTTTGAGTTCTTCTGTTCTAGGAAATATACCATATTTGTTCTTTTTGTTTGTTTGTTTTCCTTGTAAAATTACTCTTCAGTCTTTCAAAAGCCTTCACAGAGTGCTTAAGTGAAAAAACAATAATCTTATGAAAGAACAACAAATGCTTTGCTGATTACAGGCAGGACTGAGCTCCAAATGGATATTCACAACACATATCTGATATCTCTAATGCCTATATACTAATAAAGCTTACTGAGATGGTTTGGCTCCACACACTGGAAGATGCACCAAACAAAGGGACATTTAGATTAGATATCAGGAAAAAACTCTTCACTGAAAGGGTAGTCAGACACTTCACCAGGTAGAATGATCATCCCTGGAAGTTTCAAAGGGCATGTGGCACCTGGGACATGGTTAAGTGGTGAACATGGCGTGGTCACATTAACATTTGGATTTGGTGATCTTAGAGGTTTTTTCCAACCTTAATGATCCTATAGTTCATAATAAGTTCATAATAAGTTCATAATAATGATGATGTTTAGCATAATGAAGCTTCCTTTAAAAAAAAAAAAACCAAAACAAAACAACAAGATATAATGGTTCAGCAGGGACATTGGAGAAAAAAGGTTAAAAATTATTTGAGGATTCCTTCAATTTTTAGATATGTTTTTGATTACACTCTTCAATGATTTAGAGCACTGGGACTAGATCTACTGAAACACTGGGGAAAAGTTACTTATTCACTAATGTAAAAGGAAGTAATATTTCAATGTTTGAAGCAATGGGGATTTTTCACATTCTTCCTTTTTTTTTTTTTTCCTATGGGAAGGGTGATGAAGACCATATTCTTTCCAAACACTCTTAATCATCCTCTGTTTTACACAATAATATTGGTTTGCTTCATCTGTAAGTATGGCCCCAAGTGGCTGAGAGATTTTTTTGTAAGACATCTAGAGGATATGTAATTACATCTCTCTTCACTCCTCGTGGGGCTTAGGCCCACTCCTCCACAGACTCCCACAATTTCATTCTTTCCCTACAAGACTGTGCAAAGGGATTACTTTGTCTTCAACAGACTAATATAGCCAGAACGGCTGTTTTTCATACTGGTCTTCCAGGTGTGACACATCTGCTTGTAGATCTGCATATGCAGCAAGGATTTAGATATTTAGACATGCATCAAATAAGAATTTATAGCCCYCTGACAAAATGTGGTTGTTTTTGGTTATTTCCTAATCCTTTCAAAGACATTTACTATGAGTAACCATCTCTGAAGTCCTTTGCAAGCATTCAGTAGAACTTCAGACTGAATTTCTCTGTAGTAGCCAATCCACCAAGCCTTCCTAAACCTTGGTATACTCTATTCAAAAGAAAGTTTATGCTAATAATTTTTCAATTAAAAATCTTCATTACCAAACTTTAGTAAGGGGATGGGATACTATGAGTTGATTTCTKTGTGAAATAAATTGCTGCTGATGTAAGTGGGACATCTCATTAAACTTTCCTTTGTCATTTAATGGTTTGAAAACATTGCAATATTTAAATTAGTATAAGACTATTTGCATGATGTGTAATACTAATTAATACTAGGAAACCTCTCTGCCATAATGATCAAACAGGAATTTTCAGTTCTGTGATTATATTCTAGGTTCAGACCCCAGATTCTGAAAGTGCTACAAGCCACAAAGAATAACAAGTTATTAGATAACTGTGAAGAAGCCTTTTTTAAATGTACTCCTCTATAGCAAACTATTATTCTTATTACACATATTAAATTTTCTTAATGATTAAGTTATTAATAAATCTGAGTATTTTCCTTTTTAATATTAAAAAAAAAGATTGCTTATGGGAAAAAAAGAGCAAAATAGATGAGCTAGATTTAGCCTTTATAGAAATCATTTTGTCAAATTACAGTACTCCTGATGATGGCAATTCCTGAAGTATTGGCAGTGATTTCTTTACTGCAACACAAAGCATTGTAATTTAGGAGAGTGTCTTGAAAAATTCCAGTAGTTTGCCAATTGAAAAACAAATAATATTAACACAGAAATACACAGTTGAACCAGACTGTCCAAATTGAACATAAATTGCACTAYAAACATGGTATGTGGATGTGAAAGCAGAAAGGATGATTTTGTGATGAAAACACTGGGTTGGAACTTAAGAGAAAGATGTAAGTCCCTGGCTCTAACTACGTAAGTATCTTAGAAGGAAGTGATGAAGTTTGGAGCTTAACAGTTCTGGTATTATGGGCTGTGTAGTCTGACAAGAATAGTTTCAGACAGTGCTTCTAAAGTTATACAAAATATAAAGTTATCCGTTATCCAGTTTTTCACCTTCTAAAGAAAGCCTGGTGCCTGTGCAAGTGCACAGTATATATTTACAGCTCATCGAAGCTGTATACRGCTGATCAGCTATATATATATAGCTCATCAAAGTTGCAGTATCGTAAGCACAAGTTGAATAATAAAGTGATAATTGATAAATGATTCAAATCAAACATCAAATTTATTTTTATTTATTTATTTAAGCTAACTCTACCTAACTCACATATAATTCTGAAAATTAGCCTGGTCTGTTCTGCAACAGCAATGTAGAGAAGAAAGTTTTGTGAGCAAGTTTAACACATTTTTGTTGCCTTCCTTTTTCTTTTTTCAGACTGGGTCTCAGTTTCAACAGCATTTCTTCAGTTGAGAATGGCTCTCTTAACAATGTACCTCATCTGAGAGAGCTCCACTTGAACAACAATGAACTTGTCAGAGTACCCAGTGGGCTGGGTGATCACAAATATATACAGGTAAAATTTATCATACTGCCTCCGAGAGCAAGAGTTGAAAGGTTCTTAATGGTATTTGTGTGTTTATTCAGTCTTGAATAGAACTGTACACAGTATTTGCAACTTGCTGCAAGTTTCACAAACTCTTGAATTATTAAGTAATGTTATAAGTAATACTTATATAAGTATATATAAGTATATAATATAAGTAATGTTATTATTAAGTAATGCATATAACAGGAAGACTGTTATTCTGTTTTTTTATTGTGGAAATGGTTATGGGAGTGTACAGATCTGGAGGTGTACATTTGTTGACTCTGTGTGTCTGAGGGTCCACAACAGATATGGGATTGTTTGTGTACTTTGGTTTCCTCTTTACTCAAAAAATACCTTCTAACAACATTTTTTCTGTTTTTTTTTTTTTTTCTTTTAGTTCTACTCAGTGACATTTTGCAACCTTTCCCAATAACTTTTCCTTTAATATTTGCAAAAAAAAGTGCCATTAGGAGGGTGAATAGATGAAATAGTCATTTCACATCCCCAGTATTTTTGAGGTCCTTGTGGCTGGATATCTAGAARTATTGCCTCTTGGGAGCAATTTAAATCTATCTTCACCTGGACTAAGATTTTACAGGACAGAGAACACCCAAAGAATGAAGACCCCCAAATGTAAATTAGCTTGGCAAAATTCTCAAGAAATAGTGAATATGGAGCAAAATAATATTCATGAGCTATTTTAAATCATCTCTAGTGGTTACTTTGGCTCTGAGTCCTGTATAGTTGCACTCATGAGAATGAAGGCATTAGAGATGGAGAGAAACCAATTAGCATCAAATACCTTCTCTATATACAGTYGTGCTTCTGAGCCACAGTGCTGTATTAATAATTTCACATCTTTGAGTCCAGTTTTTGTTACAGTACAACTAGCTGACAGTAATGTTATTGGATTGCCTTACACAGTCTCTGCCYTTTCTGTAGAAATTACTTCAATTAGGTGTACACTTGGTATTTCAAAAAGTAAACAGACTCAAGGGTTCATTTGGAAAAAAAGATTTTGTATAATGTTGCAAAATGTACACCAAGCATTTAATATGAAATAATTTCTGTTATTTACCAGGGTAGCTCTATTTCTCACTTCAGTGCTTCTGTGCTTTTCAGGTAGTCTACCTTCACAACAACAAAATTGCTTCCATTGGTATCAATGACTTTTGCCCTCTTGGCTACAACACCAAAAAGGCCAGCTATTCCGGCGTGAGCCTCTTCAGCAACCCCGTGCAGTACTGGGAAATCCAACCCTCTGCTTTCCGGTGTATCCATGAACGCTCTGCAGTACAGATTGGAAATTACAAATAGATGTCTAAAGATGGGGTTCGGTTGTGTTCCAGCTAAAGTATCTGTTRTTATAGGCCTGTTCAAAAAAATTGTTGCTAACAATTAACTCCAAATGCCAGAAGCTTCACTTTAAGTGGAGATGATCCATTGATGTAGAATAAATGAAACATTACAGATGTACAAGAGCGAGCATATCATCAAAAAGAATTGCCAACTGTGCTTTAAACTGACTTATTTCAGCCTTCTTTTCCAGCATGCTTTCTGTGGCATTTCTCAGTTTGCTGAATGCTACAGGTTTTCAGATTCCACTGTATATGAAATTTGGAGTAAATATTTTTCAAGTTATGGTATTAAAAAAAAAAAAAAAAGATAGTGATTGAGGTTATTTTTATAGCCACACAGACAAAAATAACAGAGGGAAAAAAAAGACTCTCAAATCATGTTGAGACTTGAGAAGGTAAGAGTTACCTCCTTTAAATTTATTTCAGGCCCTGGAGGTTTAAAAATATCCGCTATAACTCTAAGATAATTCTGAATGTATCTATTTAGCAGAGACAAATAAAGTTGTTGCTAATGTCATTATTTTTGGAAAAATAAAATAAATTCGTATTGTACACATAGTTCTTTTAAGTTTGCCATTCTTTTAGAGTAATGCTATTCAGAATTAGCCTAACATCATCCTACTGAACAAAATATTGAGTAGTCTGCAATAAAAAAAAAAAAAGTGTAACCTATATCTGGAGCTCAATGACTAAATTTCTCTAGTGCAAATTCTTCTCACCTTGGTTACAAGAGCAGTTTTTATGACTTTCGTGCCTTGCAGAGTATGTTATAAGGGTTTAGTCACTGTTATCAATCCATGTAWTTATCCAAACAAAAAAACATAGCARTTCACTGTTMACTTGTTCTGCATTGTACATTTGTCAGTGTCCTTTACTGGCTTTGGTTTTTGAAAAAAGGAAGTGATTGTGAAGTAGAGATATGCAGGCTCCTCCAKCTGATGAATTTGTGGAATTTAGACTATAAGCAAAATCCTAAGTGAAATAACTGCAATTATGGACGTTGCTGGGATATGAGTTGTAGAAGTATCTATTTAGAGTGGTTTGGAGCCCTCTGTAAATTGGGATTCTTTAACCCATACCAGTGGGTAGCAAGCAAATCAAAGGTAGGCTGCACATTTCTACTATCAATCTTCAAAGCTAAACATATACTCAACAAAAACATCACCTGAAAAGAACCTTCTGCAGACTCTTAATACTCCAAGGTCAATCTCTCTAATTTGTAAAACTTATACATCATTTATATTAAAGAATAATGTAATACAGGCAGACTCCAAAGTGTTTGTCTTTCTTCTTTTGTTTTGATAGCATAACATAATGTCACAACTAATTCTTGAAAATTGAACATCTTTGCAATGGTGATAGCTACAGTAAAAACAAGTTCTGTGAAATTTTTTGCCTCAAGGAACTTTTCATACCTAACTCTCATAGGGTTGTTTGGGTTTTTTAATTTTTGTGGTTTTTTGTTTGTTTGTTTGTTTGTTTGTTTTTTGAGTAAACAGATACAGTATTTTTATAGTTGTAATTTATTTAGTAGCAAATATTGGAAACAGTAGCCATTACACAGAAAAAAGCATGTTTGCACTCTTCTTAGTTATCTGCCTTATAAGTAGTCAATGATTTCTCTGCTTTCTATCTGTTCTTTCTTCTGGGTTTCACATTTTCAGAGYGTTATTTTAAAATAAAACAAATAGTATGGGATGTCTTTCTGTCACTGCAGGGAAAACCCTCGAGGAAATCAGCAGCTATATTTTTCTTTGTTCCTGGTTGGATATCAGCTGTTGTGCAGACAGACACTTCATGCAGAAAACTAAGCACTGATATTTCAGGCAAAATCAAAGGCATTGTCTTAGCCTGAAAAACTCCACAGAGTTTGTATTTACATTGTTACAGAAAGAGATTCACACAATAAATTAWATTATATTACATAAAGGACCCTATAAACATAAGCACAAACTTTGTTTTTCTCCATCCACAGTTTTAAAATCTCACATATGAAGACTTTTCTTTCAAATTAAAGCAAACTTTAAGTCCAGAAGAAAATATCTGAGTCATGTCCTCCTCTGTAGTACTCATGTTATGTCCYCTATCAAGCTTGCTGCTTGATGCTAAAGCACAAGTTATTCCTCATAAAATACATTCCCTGCTAACAACCAAGGGCTGCAAAGGTAGCAGGGCTTTCCTGATGCGCAGTCTTGCTTGATGAAACAGAAAAAAACAAATCCTATAACAAGAGACCTAAGCAGGATCATGACAAATTTGAAAGGTAAACACATTGTTGGTTTTCCATAAATTGTGCAGCCACACCAGCAATGTTTGACTGATGGGATTCTATCCATGCCAGATCTGCAGAGACTTCAAAGCAGTGGGAAGCCAAATAATTTTAAAACTACTTTTCATATAAATACAGAACAGATGGCTCTTCCACTTCAAAACAAAACAAGGAAAGAAAAAAAAAGAAAAGAAAGAAAAAAAAAAAAAAAAA